CAAAGCAAACAGTCATTAAGCCAACTGCAGAGATCATGGTAGGCAAATAACTTGGCTTTTCTCAGTGTGCCCACGGCAGATGATGATAATTGATAATAACTATTAAAATGCTGATGTAGCTTTATGAATAATGACATGGAAGGGTGATCATGAAAAAGCAAGTTTCTTAGCAATAATAAGGTTAGGTGCCTTTTCCATGAATTTAATTGTATTAGAAAAAACCTACAAGGATAAAGATGAAATTATTCGGTAATTATGTCTGATGAAGTTGGGGGGTGATTTCACTACTTTTCCCTCTCTACAATTCCCTATTGTAATGATATCCTCCTTATACACTTTAAAGTGGCTAACTCTATGCATAGTGAGCATCTAGCTACATTTTCCCCAAATGCAGAGGAATGGTGTAGTTAAACAACGATCCAAAGGCTCAGAAAATAGTTTAGTCCTCCCAAGTCACTCCGTGGCTGCAGCCAAGGAGGTTGTGCTGTATTTCTCTCTGGTTTCATCTCTACCCGCAACCAATTTCTTCCAGCACCATTCCTGTCTATGTGGCATGAGCTTTAGAACATCTGTGCAAGCCCCCAGCCGCCTCTCTGTGCCTTCCTGGTACCCAGCACTGGGTTTAGGTCTGCGCTCCAAGGGCCACATGGGACTAGAAGGTGGTATAATAGCCTACTGCTGTGATACAGGGAAGACCACAGGCCTGTGGGATGAGCAGGTCAGAGCCACATGGGCAGTCAGCAATAGCACGCAGAATCTTTATCAAAGGTCCTGCCTTCATCATGGACTCTCTGAAAAATGTAGAAGTCAGAGAAGGTGGCAGAATTACACTCTGGGTTCCCCTGGAAACATGATGTTTTGGCAAGCACAGCCAATTCTTCATCCTGGTCACTGCCAGGGAATGCAAAGCATATGGCTAAGCATTCAGAGTGCTTGCTACAACCCTCATTCTCTTTAAAACAGCTGTTCACTAAGAGCTAGAAAGATGTGCCTGAACAAGCAGTGCTGACTGTGGCAGGCCACGTCTCTTCATAAATCCTTTTACAAAGCATTAAAAAGCCCCTCAGGGCCTATGTGTCATAGAAACACAGCACAGCATAATGAGTGGGCATTTCCTATTAACCACCCAGAAAAGACTACACCACACTATTAAAGTCCTTTGCTTGAAACATTTCCTAGTAATTGGAAGCCACTAGAAAATAAGATTCACACGGAACTGAAGAACAGATAAAAAAATAAAAGGCACTTCAGATGGTGTCAAGCTATCCTGAGCTTGCTTCCAAAGGAGACACAAACAAACAAGGTTGTTCCTACAACTTAAGGCATGCCTGAAACTCAGAGGACACAGCAGTGTGTGCAGGGCTCAACTCAGAGCCTCTGGCCATCCTGCTGGAGACCCAGCCACACTCCAGAATTGGGGCTGCTGCACCTGCCTGGCTCCAAACAACAGGAGGAGTGGTAGCAAATGCCAGGGTAGCCAATTTCATCTTCAAGTTGCATGGGGCCCGGGGCAAGCGCTAAATATAGGCGAGCCAGGGCACAGTACACAGCTGCACTAGAGAGCTAGCAGAAGCCACTCACACGTCCATTCTCCCTCTCCTGCTGCTGATCCTGCCCACGCCCAGTCCAGTAGCTGGCACAGCAGAGCTTTCTGCAGAACCCAAGGACATGAAGTGACCACAGGAACCTGCCTGCTTCCTCCTTTTTTGCAGGGTAACAAATCAGCTTTGCAGAAGCAGGGATTTACAAAAGGCTAGCAAGGCAAATGTGGGGGCCCAGGTGGCGTGGACCTTTGAGACATGGACCTGGGCAGAGTGTGCTCACGCAGTGAGCCTGTGTGGCGTGCACATCGGCAGCAGGGACTCAAGAAGTGTGGACCCAGGCTGTCCTGACACCACGTACAGTTCAGGAGGCAGCACTCTGACTTGTTCCAGGAGTCACAGCACAGCCGGCGTGAGCTCACACACACGTAACACAGCATAGGCCCAAGTCCACCCTCACACTCTTGCCTGAAGCTTGTTTAACTTGAACCTCACAGTCCCCACTAACATGTTTGGCTGTTTCCACAGTCCTGGAAAATTATAAACAAAAATCAGGGAAGGTATAGCAAATCAACCACTCACAGGGAACTCTTTGTCAAGAAGTGACTGCTGAGAGCTCAGGGAGAAACTACAAAAATCAGTCAGGAGAATAAAAGTCCAGTACCCTAAAATCATCTCTCAGAACAGACCTGGGGATGTAAAAGAGTCAAGTGGAGATGACTCTGGATCCAGGACACATTAACTCTTTCCACCATACACTTTAAGGGGCTGAGAGGGTCATAACAGGTTTAAGGAGCAAAATGCTGAAGTGATGTTGGCACAAAGCATTTGCATAAATATGCCCATATATGCATCTCTGTGTGTGTGTGTGTCTGTATTTCTTAAATTCTAATATTTTAAAGGGTGAATCACAAACTGTTTACAAATCCAAGTTAACCAGGATGAGTCACTGCCTTAAGATTTTAGAACATAATATTTTAAGAGACTTATTTTATTACCGGCCTTGACTTCCCCAGCCAAAACAAAGACTTTAATTAGGAAGTCTATTTTCCTATGTCTCTATTCCTTTCCTAAAGCAGCTGCAGCCCTCAGAGAGGCCCTGCTCTAGCAGTGCTCTGTAAGGGCCTTCAGAACGGTCCCTATGGCCAGTCAATTGTCATCGCCACACAGGCCAACAGCAGAGAAGACCCGAGGTCCTTTTATTCCTGGCAGGATGGCAGGTCATGGCAGTGGTGCTGGTGAAATGGTACCAACCAGAAACAACAGAGGCATCGGAGTTAGCGAAAGAGACAATTGCAGGGCCAAGCCTGCTGGGAAAACTACTTCAATTCCATTATTTTATTACATCATTAAGCATGGATAGAAGTTTAGAGAATTCACATCACCAGGGCAAGTATCTGTCTACTCAGACATGCTGCTTATCCAACATGCTGTCTTCCCATGATTTAAATGACCTCATGATATGAGACACACTGTTTATCCAATATGACTGCCATCTTCATGATTTAAATGACCTCATGATATTAGACACACTGCTTACTCAACACGACTGTCATCCCCATGACTTAAATGACCTCATGATAATAAAACGTTCGGTGCCCAAATCTGGCGCAAGGAAGCAGATTATTAATTGCATAGTTGGAATTTCTCTGGTAAATACATTTATTTTTTTTACATTTACCTTTTTTTCCACTTTCTCTTTTTTTATTAATTTTAATGAAAGTTTACAGAGACTTAGGGTTTCCAGTCATTCATTGTTGCATTTTTTCCTTGCCCACCCAATACGTTATTTTTTTATTTAAGTCAAAGTTTACAAATCATCTTGTAATTTCACTCAACCATTCAAAGTCCCTTTGTTTTATCCCATTAATTTCAATTGATTAAATTAACTAATTAATTACACAGTATAGCCAATTCCTTAATTGTGTATGGGCTTTAATTTTTGCTTCCTCTCCCTTCCTTCTCATCTCTGTTAAACCTCCAAGATTGACTCTACCTGGTCAAGTCTTAGAAACCTGTAACACACAAGGATTTTTTTTTTAAAGCTCCATATTGGTTATATTATAAGGACCATAAAGGGAATTAGTAGCTTCCTGAGGGTTTATCTGCCTCCTTCAACCCTACTCTGTACTCTCTCTCTCTCTTTCCCCCTTTTAAGAAATTACCTTGAGTCTAGATTACATGCTAACATTCTAAACAGAGAGAATAAGTTAAGTGTGCAATTGCTCACACCTGCACACGATTTGTTACTGTCTGTGGCCAGGAGTCTTGCAGTCTGTCAGGTAGGTGTCTGTCAGGTGGCCCTGGGGGAAGAATCAGCCCCCTCTGGTGCTCTGAGGGAGGTGTTGTGGGGGCAGCAGGCAAAGCTGGAAACCGACAGGGCCTTGACAAGAGTGCTCTGCTTCTGGGGAGAAGATGACGCAGGAGGAGGAAAGGAGAGGCACCTGGGCTGTGTCCTTTGGCACGAGGAGTCGCTGACCACCCTGTGGAGCCTGCTTCTCTGCAGGCCTCTATAGCACCTAAGATTCCCATTGCCACAGAATCATTCACCATCCTGATTTAAAGGCTGAGGGTTCAACATGACATCTAAAGAACGCAGTCTTCCAGACTACAGATGTAAATAAAATAAAAAGCAATGTATTCTACCTATTGTTTTAAAACTTTAAAAAACAGTAGCAGGATTTTAAGTATCTTAATGTTTACATGCTTTTGAAAGTGAACTAAAAGAAAAGTTCACATAACTTTTTTGTCTGTTATGTGACTAAAGCTTTGCTTCCACAGGCTCTATTTAACACTTCAGATGCATAGGAAATGTACTGTAGCAGGGGCTACCAAGGCATTTAATTGAAAACGTGAAGAAAATGACACAGGAGAAAAAGCACAAAAACACATCTTAAAAAAAGGAATTCTCAATTACAAAGGGTGCACGAGATGACTGAGAAAAGTCAGTGGCCCTGTGGCACAGTGGCTGAGCAGTGGGCTGCAAACCCCTAAGTGGGAGGATTAGGCCCAGCAGCCATGCAGCAGAGGGTGATAAAGCGTCTGCCCTATAAATATTCAGTCACATTTCAGGAGCCATACGCGGCAGCTCCAGTCTGTCCTAGGCATCACCTCCACATGCCTCAATCAATGTGAGGGCAATGGGTTTGGTTTGGGTTCATAGGGTGAATCAGGGAAAATGTCTTCAGAAGACAGAGATCCAGATTGAGACCAACACTGGTGAGGCTCACAAACTGGAAGAGAGAGAGAGAGGAGACTTCTATGCTAAGACTTACAAACAAGCAGGGGTGGGCCATTCAGAGAACACAGCATCTCTAAAGAGGGTCCACTGAGTTACCAGTGGGTGCCCATGACTACAGTGACCAGTGGCCACGTCCTGCGACCTCCAGAGCTGCTGGAAGTGGCCAGAGCCGACCCTCTCCCAGGGGCCTGCTGTTCCCAGCACGCACCCGGACTTACCTTTGCCATAGAAGAACTTGCGGTAGTAGTAGGCCCCCAGGTCGATGTGCTCGATGATGTACCGCTTCACCTTCTCACGGTGCACTGGCTGGTTCTCCCGCGGCACCTCCAGCACCGAGACGCCTGCGTTGGTGCAGTGAGAACTGAGTGAGGCCTCGAAAGAGCAGCTCTCCCCAGAGCTGAAAGCTGACGAGCTGGCCCTGGTGAGCGCGATCCTCCGGTCGCCCTCGCCGCCAGTCTCATTCCTGAAGTAGGGACAGCTCAGCACCAGCTCGCTACTCTTGCCATCCCCCTCGTCAGCATCCAGGCTCTCCTTGGAGTTAAGGTCCTCTTTGCTGCCTAGTGGGGACTCGCAGGCACCTGGCTGGCCCGTCGGTAGCGGGGTCTGAGATGCGGCTGAAGCCCCCGTGGTGGTGTTTTTCCTCTTGCCCACATTGGCCCGTATGGCCATGGCCTCATTGATGTTAAACAAAATGCTTTGGACATCATAATGTGCAAAGCACCTCTGGCAGTGCCAAGGGCGGACGCCTCTCTCAAGGTGACTGTCCTCCAGCTCAGCCGTGAACTTGAAAGCCTCATGCTCACTTTTCACGGTGCGCAACTTCCGGAAAAGGGATGTTTCCACCGACTCGGACTTGAGCCTCCACTTGAAGGGCTTGTCACGGTCTCCACGCATGAGGAGGGCACTGTCCACGTAGTCCAGTCCTGAAATGCGGACAAACTCCCCTCGGGAAATCTGTGCTGCAGCATGCAGGCTGGGAGAGATGGCAGGGTCGCAGGGGAGGAAGTCAGGGACGCCGAAGGGGACCATCATCTTTGGGTCATAGTTCTCTACACGGTAGCCTCTGAGCATGGCGAAAAAGCTGTCGCCGGACAGGCCCTGGCGGTCGATGGATGACGTGCTGCCATACTCCCGGTGCAAGGCGGCCCCCGTGTTGGGGTTCACGGCATTCTGGTCAAGGACATCCTCAGCATCAATGTCACTGATGGTCACGTCGCTATTGCTTCTTTGTCTGATGGGGTGGAGGCCTCGTTGAGGAGAATGTACAAAGATGTCCCCGATGGTGTATTTCGCCTCCACAAACTCCAGATCAAGCTGGTCCTCATGCTGAGCATCGGCCTGGTCACTCTGGCCATTCTGCATGGCAGCGGCGATGCTCTCGTAACTTGTCTGGGAATGGCTCTCCCACAGGCCCTTGGAGGCCAGCTCCTTGGAGCAGTCCTTCTTAGGAGGCCATTCAGACACTCTCGCTCTTACACCCATCTTGGGCACCACTGGGGTACCATTAGCTGGACCACCACTCTCAGTGGAATTTGAGGCATTTAAAGAAGTAGGAGGTCCCAGGTTGCCATTAATGGCTTTAAATTTCCGAGCAAAATAATCGTCGGACTGCATGATTCTGGGTGGATCCTTGAATTTGGAAGCGGCTCTGCCAAGCTTGTGCTTGTCTTCCTGTGCCTGCCTTGGGTCACTCATGTCTACCCAGGCAACAAGCGCCACGTCCCCTAGGAAGACGGATGGAGTTCCGAGTGCATTGTTGCTTTGAAGCAATATTAAATGTAGACACCCTGAACAACTCCACAGTCGTACAGAGCCCTGGCGGCTGAGCGATTCAAACCCATCAGTCGCTCCAGTGGACAAAGACGGAGCCCCTAGCCTCCATACAAATTCACAGCCTTAGAAATCCAATGGGCAGTTCTTCTCTGTCCTGTGGGGCCACTCTAAGTTGGAATTAACTGGACACAGCAGGTGTGATTTTTGCTCTATACTTACATTTCCCCTTTTCAACCGAAAGCAAGCAATATCTTCAAGAATATGATTTTCCAAAACCAACTTGCTTCTTGCTTCCTGTAATGACTTTGTTCTCTTCAAGTCTTTTCAAATGCACACCTTACGTCATCTGTATTGTATCATGAGTATTTTCTTTACCTGAATGAGACAGAAAATAGTTATCAGCAGTTAATAGACATCAAGTTAGATACTTATATGGGTTGTTGTTAGTTTTGGGTGGAGGGTTTTAAAAAAAATTTTATTCATTTTAATGAACGTTTACAGAGATTTTGGATTTCCATTCATTCATTGTTGCATTTTTTACAATATGGGTTTTGGGGGTTTTTCTTTATCCTTTTCACCTCTTTCCGTTTACTTCCAATTTTAACAAACTGTCAGAAAGGGTGCCATCCCAACGCTTTGCTGAGTACTGTTCCCTTGCTTTCTCTGTGACGGGCTAGAATGCATCACTCTCCCTGCAGGAAGCTCCTGGGCTCACTCACCTCCAGCCCATACCTGAGTACAAGTGCTTCCTCTGTGGCCCATCAAGCTCACATCTACAACCATCTCAACCCTCCTCTCTCTGCAGGCCAGATCTCCCTCTACCCACCCGCAGATCCACACTCCTCTCGGTCAGGAATGATGCTGTTCATCTGTGCACCATATTATCTACTACCAGACATAATTTAAATTAGGTACTCCAGCAATATTTTAATGAATAGATTAGTTTTAAGAGTAGCATCTTCTGCTTACTCTAATTAAGAGAAAACTCAAAATGCTCAGCAGCAAATAGCAAAGATCAATATCTGGTGTTAACAAATGAGAATGCTCTCTAGCAGCCAAATGGGACCTTAGCGTGGGAAGGCAACTGCAAGAATTTGCAGGCTGAAAGAGTACAACTCCCTAGTACTTTATGCCACTAGCAAATTTTCAAGTGGTAAAGGAGCAGTAAGCAGAGTCCGCTGTCGTTTGCTGTTACATGCTGTTGAGTTTGAACCAACTCGTAGCTGCCACCCCGTCCCCTCCCAGCAGTTCTTCAGAGGCTGCAGATTGCCCAGGAAGAGACGAGACTGCTCATATTTCTCCCAAATGCAGAGGTTTAAAGCGTCTCAATTTACTTGTATTGAGGGAAACATGGCCTTATCAATGCTTCTTTTTAATTATAATTCCCTCTTTTAATTAAGGCTAAATTATTTGCAGGTATATATTTCACCAACATCTGAAAATAATTATGGTAATAAAGGTATAATAGATCCTTACCAAAGTCTAAGAAAAGGTTACAATTTACTACCTACTTAAGGAGAAATTATAGTGCTCGTAAGTATGAAAGATTTATTTCATCACCCAATCTATGGTAATAAATGTGAAAAAGAAAACAGATTCAGGAATGAAAAATCTGAGCAGATAAAATGCCATCAAAAAGACTAGAACTAGAACCAGGTAAAATGAAAATTTTACAAATATATACAGGTGACCTGTGAATAACACGGGTTTTAACTACATGGGTCCTTTTATATGTGGGGTTTGTTTGTTTGTTTTTATAAAAAAAGCTACATGGTGCTTGGGTCACCACAAGGATATTTCATCTTAAAAGTGAATCGTAATCACAGTATACAGTGATCTACACCCGGCACATTTTTAACGTGTTTAACACAAAGCCACACATCTTGAATAATACCTTGGGACTCATATGGGGCAACTTAACTAGTGAATTCAGAAATGTTCCCAAGAAGCGGAGAAAACTCACAGCCACAAGAAAAGTTAAATTGCTTGACATGCACTGTAGTTTGAGGCCTGACACTTAAAACAGTTGAATCCAACATACGGGCCACTGTCAAGAGATTCTGTATAGTCATCGCTACAGCTATACCAAGAGGAGTCTAAGCCTTGAACAAAATGTGAAATACCTTTTTTAACTGAAACTAAAAATACTGCTTTAATGTGGGTACAGTAAATCTTAACTAATAGTAGATGACTGGAAACCCAGTGGAGTGTACCATGAGTTGAAAAAGGAATACTCTCAACAAGACGGACAGGCACAGCGACTGCAACAATGGGATGTAAGCACAACAGAGTGGGTGAGGATGGCACAGGGTTTCAATGTGTTGTACATACTGTCAAGTGTATAAAGATAGATTTTTTTGCTGAATTTCATTAGTAGGATTTTAAAAAATGAACAGCTATAGCAAACACAGTTTACAGTAAACCTTTTGAGAGTGAAATCTCTTGAGAATACTGGCTGACTTTGTTTCCTATTCCTCTGTGACAGAAAGCCTCACCTTGGTCACTATGCTCAAGCCATTCTATACCCACAGTGGCAATCCTGTTCCACCTGGGGCTTCTTCATTTTCAAGACCACTTTTCCAAGTTGGATGTCCTTTTCCAGGCAGTGGTCCCTCCTGACAGGATATGTGAGGCACAATGACGGAAAGTTTTTACCCCCTTCACTTTCTTTTTTTTTCCTTTTAAAATTTGTTATTAATTTCAATGAAAATTTACAGAGACTTTGGATTTCCATTAATTTATTGTTGCACTTTTCTCCCCTCCCAACCCTCCCCCCGAGTTCACTACCCTCTTGGAAAAGTAAAATTCTTTCATTGTTATACAAACCCTCCCCCAGGTCCACTCCACTATACATCCTTCGCTCTGGACTCCTGTCATGACAAAAACACCTAATCACATATCCCTCTTAAACAGTTTTCTCCCTCATCTGTTTCAATACATTACACATTATTGAACCCATCTTTCTCAGTCTCCCTCAACCTCAATGTCAGTCCTGTTTTACAACAGTGGCACCATGCAGTATTTGTCCTTTTGTGACTGAGATACTTCACTCAGCATAATGTCCTCCAGGGTCACTCATTTTGCATAATATTGCATGAGTTCCTTGTTTTTCAATGCAGTATAGTATTCCATTGTGTGAATATATCACAGCTTCTCTATCTATTCATTTGTTGATGGGCATTAGGTTGTTTCCAACTCCTTGCTATTGTGAACAAAGTCGCAGTAAACATGGGTGTGCATATATCTGCTTGGATGTCAGTTATGGTCTTCTTGGGGTATAGGTCCAGTAGTGAAATTGCTGGGTCAAATGGTATCTCTATTTGCAACTTTTTGAGAAAGCACCATACCGCCTTCCACAGTGGTTGCATCATTTTACACTCCCACCAACACTGAATAAGGGTTCTAGTTTCTCCACAACCTCACCAGCATTTGTTGCTTGCTGTTCTATTAAATTTTGCTATTCTGACTGGGGTGAGATGATATCTCATAATTGCTTTTACCCTCTTCACTTTTAAGGAGCACACCATATATACTTCTTCTGAGACACTTTGGTTTCTTTTTCCAGAAGTTGGTAGAATATCCAATATTCTTTGTCATTGACACAATTCAGTTCTCTTACAGTCTTCCTTGCTTAGATCAATAACCAACACTCTTGTACTAGCAGTCAGGAAACCAGGAGACATATTGCATTGGGAAAGTCTGCAGTCAGGGACTTTTCCAATATACTTAAGAGCAATGATAGCAGTTTGAAGACTGATGTGTACCTGATTCAGGCCAGTGTCTTTTAAATAACATACTGAACATCTGAGGGCTAAACAATGAATAAGGATGACAGAGTAAGAAATGATGCTTTTGATCTGTAGTGTTGGAGAAGTGTACTGAATATCCTGTGGACTGTCAAAAGAACAAGTGCCTGTCTTGGAGAAATTGCAGCCAGAGTGCTCCTTAGGGGTCAGGACGGCAAAGCTTCGTCTTATATACTTGGAGCATGCTGTTAGAAGAGGCCACTCCTTCAAAACAGACACCATGTTTGGGAAGACAGAGGATCAGCAAACAGAGGATCAGCAAACAAAAGAGGAGACCTCCAAAGAGATAGATTTGACAATGATTGTAGCAATGGGCTCAAGTGTGTCAGATGATGAAGATGGCACAGGATAGGGCAGGGTTCAGCTCTGTTGTTCACTGGGTATCTATGAGTCATACCTGACTCAATGGCACCTAACAGAAACAACACAACACTTCCTTATTCACTTACTTATTGCCCAGCTCTCCCATGCTGGTGGTGACTGACAATACTATGGCTGGTGTCAGGCCCACCTTAGTTCTCAAAGTGACACGCTGGCTTTTTCACACTTTAAAGAGATCTTCTGCAGCATATCTGACCAATGGAACATGTCATTTGAATTCCTGAAAGACATTTCTTCCAAGGATGTTGACTGGAGATACAAGTAAACAGAACAAAATATTTGACAAGTTGAATTCTACAATTTTCCTTGTTTCTCCTTTACACGTGCTGTACTCTTTATCCTAAGCCCATTTTCACACAACACTGATCTCCCAGAATCACTCCCTTGCCTTTTAAACTCTGCCACATGGTTCTCACTCTCTTCACACACACATTTCTAGCCATTCTTGTTATTCTGCTTTGAGGACAGCTCTGCTACTTTCAGCGTGGAAAATCAGGTTCCTCCAGGTTTTTGTTCAAATCTTCTCTATGTAAAAAGCTTGGGTTTGAAGTATAATTCCCTATTCACTAGCCATTAGAGTTTCTGATCATAACAGATAGTAATGTGAAAGAAATAAATGAAAATACCATGGTCTGGACCAGACACACCTTAGTCTTTAAGATCCTTCCTTGCTTTTTAGCACTTTGGAGAGGTCTTGGACAGCAGATTTCTCCAGTACAACACTTTTTTTTTTTG